ACAAATTTTTTGGTATTACCAAAAATGAAAATTTATCATTTATTTGTAGATTTTTTCAATGGTTCTTCATAAATTTGTGTTTAATACTTAATATCTTTGTTCATTTTTGTCAAAACAATTTTATCTTTAACATTCTTTTCACTTTAATAAATTATTTGTTACACAATGTGCCTCAGGAGAAAACTGAAACACTTCTTTAACATACTTGGCAAGTAATTCTGAGCTAAAAAGGTCATATATTCTATGGATCCATTTTCATTGTATAGAGAATTATAAAAAATATAAGATACTGTGAATTCTTAGATTATTCTTTGTGGGTTCTTTGTTTCACTTTTTCTCTTTTTAATTACATTCTATATATTAATAATTGTTTTATTGACTAGTAACCACTTGTAAATATAACCTATTGCAACAAACATTGTTTAGTTTTGATGTTATGTATGTAGATTACAATGAATACTTGGAAATTACGTTCTATCTCATAACTTATGAGTCATAATAGAAGAATTTGGAATAAATAAGATATGGCACCAGCATGCTTTGATAGAGAAGTGATAGTTTTCTTGAATGATGATTTTTCAGATAATTGAATTAGAAAGAGTGAATTTGTAACATGGTTATCTTGATTACAAGATTTAAATTCTCTGGATTTCTTTTTTAGGGGTACATGGAATCTAATGTTTATAGTCATATAGAATCAATTGTATAGGAGCATCTAATATAAGCAGTGTGCAAAACAAGTGAAGAAATAAAAAATTGCACATCTTAAATATGATGGTAACATTTATCACACTGTGCAATATAATCGTGTTTCCAAGTGGAAGATTACCCAGATTGAATAATATATGTAAAATGTAATAAAAAAGAAAGAAAGAAAAATAAAAACCTTGTAAAAAATGAAAAAAATTTTTCTTTGCAAAGATGTGCCTGTAATATGTTATTTTTGTTATAATTTTGTAACAAATGAAATTAAATCCATGGTATATATTGCTTTTTTCACCTCAAATGACTTGCCACATACATTATATAAATACATGACATTCTTCTCTAATCACAGTTAAAAAATAATTTCATTACAAGTGTTTCAAAATAACAGTAACTTTTAGTTGTACTATTTAATCTACATAACATTCTGTATTATATATTTCTGTTTCATTATATGTTTTCCTTTTTATTAAATACTTTAATACTTGTAGAATAAAAGTCTTTAAGTTTGAAAGTTTTGTAACAAAGTCAAATGGATAAATGGGTCTAAAACTGCATTTTTGGGTTTAAATTTACAATAAGCAATTACAGTGTTTCATATATTATAAAGTCAAGAGTTCTCAATCATAATTGCCATATTAAAAAGTCATCACTTTGCCAAACCAATTCTTTTGCCAAACTTTCACACTGTACAGATATAAAGACGAAAAATTACTTATAACCAAATGGAGTTATAAGGTAACTAAGAAAAGTTACAATATATCCAAATAAAGTAAAATTCCAAATGTAGAAGATAATTAAACTATTCAGTATGATTGTTGACTTTATAATAATAGCATTATATATTATTGATACTTCTCTGCACAGGTATAATATTTTTCTATGGATTGGGTATGAGAAGTCAAAGTTAAAAAGAGTAGTAACATTGCAAATATTTTTATTTAGCTATTACAAAGAAAGAGTATTGTTTTTCATATTATATCACATAATTTTTAGTAGAACAAAACAGAAATTATCATAAATAAAAAAATAAATCGTTTCTTTGTTCTTTGATCGTTTAATTATACGTTCCTTTGTAGCACCCTATGTATCATTTGATATTTTAATTTTGTTTAGTACAATCTGGATACATGTGGTTGGAATGTAAAAAAGAATATATTCATCACAAATGTGGCAAAAATATCGCGTTTTACGATGTTTACAGAATTTACATCTTTCACATTTATTATGTCCTATTTGTACATTTTCACTAAAAGGAGCAATCTAATCTCTGCTGCAATTTGTTTAATTTTTCTCAGTAGATACATACTATCAATACATTGTTTGATGTAAGGTATTATATTTTTAGCATATTGTTACAAGAAAGTCCTGCCAGTAAACTTACTTGCAGTATGATTTATATTACCTATATATGCAGTGTATTTCTCTTATAATGAACATCTAAATTATTTCCAATGCCATTGAAAGTAAGAAAAAATGACTAAAAGAAGTTTATATGGTTCGAGGACGTGCATCTGGTGATGATAAAAAAAAGTCCTCGCAAGGTCATCTTGTTTTTCTTTTATAATGCTACATGATAGTCAACATCAAGATTAATTAATTACGTATATCATGACCTTGAAATGACTGAATAATGTAAAAATGATGTTAAATGATGACTTTAAAAAAATCGAAAAGAATGAACATAAGAAAATGTTCTATTTAGCATACTCCGCTTTTGAAACCATTCAAACTGTCTTTGAAACATTTCTAATATCAATAATAAAGGAGATATTTAGATGTTCGGT